GTCGAAGAGCAGGTCTGGGTGTTCATTTGGTAGCCCAGGGTCTATTCACGCGTGCTCACCAGCTCAGCTGTGGGGGTGCACGAAGCAAAGTGGGTGTGTTCTCACTTGCTGTGGGTGCGTGCGACGTCACGTTTGCCTTGTGGCAGTCCCACCGGGCAGAATAGGATTGCCCACAGGATCTTTATGGGAGCAGATTGGTAAGTCCTTTCTCTCGTGGCTGGTGAGTTCAAATTGCCCACCTTTGGGTTTTAACCCTTGTGTCACCAGGTCTCCTTCTTACTTGTAGAGTACTTTAATATTTGTGTGGGCAACCCAACCTAAAACCCAATCTGACCAGCAGTCATTGCTCCTGTGAAATCTTAACCCCAATATCTAGTCCGGGACAGTGACTCCAATTCCTCTTTTCTAGGATCTTTGCGGATTTCACTGAGACCTAAGACTTTCAACCTCTCTCTTGTGACCCAATTAATTACCCACTCTCTGACCTGGCTGGGTCCCATGATTTCTCATTTCAATACCGCTTGGGGCTGTTTCCAGAGAATCTCTCCAACGCTGGCGGGGCCTTCAGCTCTGCTTGGCACATAGTTTCTGATTCCCTGCTTCTCCCCATCTTTCCTTCCAAATCTTCTGGTACCTTCAAGCCTACCTTGTCCTCGCAGGTGGTTACATCATTTCATGTCAACTTGAAGATATATTAAAGTGCGGGGGCAGAGTGTAGGCTGCCAATCAGGTTGCAGCCAATGACTTCACTTGGAGATGCTATCGGGGTACACCTCTCTGGAGGCCAACCTCTCTCGCTTTACCTTCACCTTCCTGCTGGCTGACCCTGATTGCTGCCAGAGCCCTGCGATGTCACCGCTGCCATGGGATCCACACAACTTTGCACCTACCAACCTGTGATCTTCCTGCATTCTGCATCATTGCTTGTGACAGCCCGAGTCTGAAAGGGACTTACAGACTGAAAGGGCCTATGAACTAGTGCCGGACTTATGGGCTTGAGTTGGACTGGGCTAGGATGTTTTTGGTTTTTTTTTTACCATCTCTCTCTTTTTTTGAAAAATCATTTGATTAGGGGCTCATACAACTCTTATCACAATCCATACATACATCAATTGTGTAAAGCACATCTGTACATTCATTGCCTTCATGATTCTCAAAACATCTGCTCTCCACTTAAGCCCCTGGCATTAGGTCCTCATTTTTTCCCCTCCCTCAGGAACCCTTGATAATTTATAAATTATTATTTTGTCACGTTTTACCCTGTCCGACTTCTCGCTTCACCCACTTTTCTGTTGTCCATCCCCCAGGGAGGAGGTCACATGTAGATCCTTGTCATCGGTTCCCCCTTTCCAACCCACCCTCCCTCTACCCTCCCAGTATCGCCACTCACACCATTGGTCCTGAAGGGTTCATCCGCCCTGGATTCCCCGTGTTTCCAGTTCCTATCTGTACCAGTGTACATCCTCTGGTCTAGCCAGATATGCAAGGTAGAATTGGGATCATGATAGTGGGGGGGGGGGGGGGGGGGAGCATTTAGGCACTAGAGGAAAGTTGTAGTTTTCATCCTTGCTACAACTAGGATGTTTTCTGGATATATAATGACTTCTTGATATAAAGCTCTTTCTTATACACAGATGAGTATCACTGGATTTGTTTCTCTAGTCAACCCGGCCTCACACAGTCCTATCTTAGAAAATGGCCTGACTTCTCAGATGACAAAGAAAGCTTACCTTCCTGTCCCCATGTCTATCACTCACTTAAAGCCTCTCGCTCCTTTGGGCCTTTGCTCCTCCCCCTCATATCTCATCTGGGATCTTACCCCACCCTGCATTTCTTATCCCTTCTTTTCTGTCATTCCTTCCCTAAAAGCTACAAGCATGCACACAATCTTTCCCATCCCCCAAATCACACCCTTCCTTAGCCGGGAGTCCCTGCTGGCCATTTCCTGATCCCGCCTCAGTTCTTCAGGGGCCCAGGTGGAGTTGTGCTGCTATCTGCAAGGTCAGTAGTTTGAAACCAGTATCTGCTTCTCGGGAGACAGATGGGGCTTTCTACTCCTCTAAATAGTCTCCGAAACTCACAGGGGCAGTTCTGCTCTGTCCGATAGGCTCCCTGTGAGTCTGCACCGGTTCCACAGCAGTGAGTTGGGGTCCTTCCGTTCATGTTGCACTCCTATACAGAGTATGCAGCCGCTGCCTTCACGTTTCTACCTCCAGCTCTCTACTCCCCGACAGTGGCTCCTCTGGCAGAGGTCCCCAAAGCTCTCCCAATGGCTAGAATTGATGAACTCACTTCCCTTCTCATCGTACTTGTGATCAGTCATGCAGTCTCAGATTGTTCCCTCCAAAAATCTCTCCTCCCCCTGACTTCCCAGACACTCCTGGTCACCTTTTATTTCTCTGATAATTTCGCCTCTGCTTCCTTTATAGTCTCTTCTGCCCAGTTCTTTATACAGGTGGGTGGATTCAGGGCTTTGTCCTTGGTCTTCACTTCTTAGACTGTCTTCCCCAGGAAAACTCAACCATGACCTCTCTGCTCATCACTCTAATCACATACTTCTCCTCGGGGTTTGGATTGGGATACCCAGCTAAGCCTAAAAGCCAAACTCACTGCCATCGACTAGATTCTGACTCATAGTGACCTTACAGGGCAGGGTAGATAGCCCCTGTGAGTTTCTGAGACTGTGATTCATTATGTGAGTCAAACGCCCCATCTGACCTTGGGGTGAGCAGCATAACATGTAACCACGATGCCACTGCAGGTTCCCCAGCTAGCTATTGGAAATCTCCACCCGAATAAATATCCCCAAATACCTCATGTTCATCAAATCCAGACTGGGTTCATCTGCCTGCCCCCAAACAAACAAACAAACAAAACAAGCCCCCTGCCACTGAGTCAGTACCAACTCATAGCAACCCTATAAGACAGGGTAGAACTGCCCCTGTAGGTTTCTGTTCTTTCTGGAAGTAGAAAACCTCATCTTTCTCCCACAGAGCACTAGTGGTTTCAAACTGCTGCCCTTGTGGTTAGCAGCACAACAGGTAACCACTACACCACCAGGGCTCCTGTTCATTCCCACCTTCCCCCCAAAACAAAACACCATCAAGTTGATTCCAACTCAAAGTGACACCCCCCCCACCCCCCCCACCCCCCGTTCTTCTTCCGTTTATCCCTTTTAGAGGCAATGACACTGCCACCAGGTGTCATCTTCTATTCTCTCCTCTCCTGCACGCCCGCATCTAATCATTCACCAAGTCACTCTCGAATCTCTACCCTCATCTCCATTCCTAAATGATTGTCTCAGCTGCAATAGTCTACGAAGACACCTCCCTGCTTCTCAGTTGGCACTGATTAAATCCAGCCGAGGCGCAATGAGAGCCTGGTCTCATTGTGTACCTCTTTGCTTAAAGCCCTACCAGGAACAACAGCAGAATATTAGTAATTGACTGGGGCCAGGGGTGGAGGTAGGGGAAGACTCATATAAAGCATGAAGGAATTTGGGGGGGGAAGGTGGATTATACTATGGCTGTATATATAGGAGGGAGTACCTCTCACCAAAAAATAAACAGAAAAAAGAAGTTCCACTGGGCAGAGCTTTCGTAGTAAGCATTTTTCCCAGGCAAGCATTGAGCAACTTGCTCTGAGTTAGTGCACCCAGTGGTGTCACCTGGGAAGGTTCTCTCTGGTCACAGTGAATTTTTTCATGAAAGCAGTTCCGCTCAAACTTTGTTTTCTGTGATGGCCGATTTCAGAAAATGGCATGCAGCTGTGAAATTTGTTTCCTGCTCGGGCAAAATGCAGTAGAAGCTGTTGTGATGTTGCACACAGCTCACAAGAACAGTGCTGTGGGAAAAACTTAAGTGTATGAGTGGTTTTCCCATTTCAACAAAAAAGGTGAAATGTTGATTCACGAAAATGGCAACTTGGTAGTGCATTTGGAGTTCATTCCACCAGGTCAGACTGTTCATCAAGCTTTCTATTTAGAGGTTCTGAAAAGATTGCATAACAGTGTGCAGCAAAAAAGGCCTGATTTGTGGCAGACGGGAGACTGGTTTTGCCACCACAACAATGCACCTGCTCATGCAGCCATCTTAGTGAGCTAGTTTTTGGCAAAAAAAACCCCAGCATGCCTATCTTTCCCCATGCACCTCATTCACCTGATCTCAATCTGTGTGACTTTTTGTTTCTACGAATGAAGAGGGACATGAAAGGACAGCGATTTGGCGATGTAGAAGAAGTGAAGATAAAACACGAGGGAGGTGCTGTCAGCCATCCAAAGTGTTTCCAAGAATGGAATTGCAAATTTGAAAAATCTATTAAATGTCATGGAGAGTCCTTTGAAGATGATAAGGTTGTATTGTAAAAAAAATAATAATAATAATAATACATAGTTTTGAAAAAAATCCGTTTTGGGGGGATTTTTTAAATATATAATCAGTCATATTAAGTACACTGCAGATCTAAAATAGGTCTAGATGTCTGTCCCCTCCTTGCCTGCTTGTTGAAAATCCAGAACGTTTTCAAATTTCAACTCCTGTTAGCAACTCTATCACCATTCCGCCAAGTGCCCATTCTTTGTGCTTCACTGACCCGACATAAATATCTGTGCTATACACAGTTTTTCGTTATATTCTTGTGTTCCTGCCTTCTCTCTGTCTTTCATTTGGCTGTGGGTGTGAGGGCTGTTCCCGGTCGTCTCCATTGTTGTGCCTCCAGGCTTGTCACAGCTGTTGAATCTTGAAGAAACCTGGGCTGTATGACTGCAGTTCAGCCTGGGGGATAGCGGGACAGACGACGCTCCTCCGACCGATAGGGGGCGCTGTGGCAGGTGCCCTCTGGCTCTCGGTTCTCGGAGCCTGCTCCCGGAACCACTAGCTCCGGCTCCGCCCCCAACCTGCCAATATTCTTCCTGCCCATTAGGCGAGGATCCTCGAAGCTGGCCAATAGAGTGAGGCGTTGCTGAGAGTGGGCACAATCATCTCTGGGTGGCTGAGACTGCAGCGCGCGCCGGTGACCCCGGGAGGTAGGGACATAGGTAGGCGGTTGGACGGTGTCGCGGCTCGCCGCCTACGGTCCCGCGACCCTTCCTCCTTCCCTTCTCCACCCCGGCGCCACGATGCCGCAGTTCCAGACCTGGGAGGAGTTCAGCCGCGCCGCCGAGAAGCTATACCTCGCTGACCCGATGAAGGTAAGTCGCGGGTGGAGAAGTGATGGCTACCCACGGGTGGGACGTTTTTCTTCCGCCTGCTCAGCTTCTCGAAGCGTCTCTACCGCTCTGGGTAGTTCTGGGCGTGAGTGGAAACAACCCCGCTGAAGTCTAATTGCGCCTGTTTCCTCTGTCGTCACCTTCGCTCCTGATCCGACGTACCTGGAATTAACAAAAGGAAGGGTCGTTTCAGGGCCGTGTACAGGTCTACCTTCTTGCCTTCCTCCGCCTCCAGTCTCTGAACTTCTCTTTTGGCTTTCGTTGGTTTACGTGTCTCCCAAGGCAGGTCTCCTCCCCGTGCAGCTTCCGCATCCTGTCCCTTGGTTGCCACGGGGCTCTGCCTGTAAGCGCAGTGAGAATGTGTTTTGAACGGCTCAGATATTTTTGAAAGACCCTTGTTTGAAAGCATCTACCATTCCTTAAAAACTGTGGATCTTAATCTTTTGGAAATCCTGAGAATAGACATGCTTCCCCACTCCTCCCACCATCTCCGACACCCCACCCCACCCCCGAAAAGCGCCCATATGTGAATACTTGCAACAATTTTAGGGACTCGTGGATCTCTAAAACCTACCACGGGCCCCACAAAAGTTAAAGTGTGTGCTAGAAGGTGAGCTTATTGTTAAAAAGTGAAGGAGCCCACTTGATGGAAGATTGGCATTCATGCCTCTCGATTTTCCTTCTCTTGAGTGTTTACATATTTTATTGTCATAAAAATCAAGGCATCTCCTTGTTAATGGAAAGTACTGATGATTTTTAGAGTCAGCATTTTTGGAGACTAAAGGTTTAGGGGGGACAGACCGCCTCATCTTTTTCTTGTGGAGTGACGTGTGGGTTTGAACGATCCACTATGTGATAGCCCACTAAAGCACCTATGGAAACTTTGCTGCTTTTTAGGTGCCATTAAGGTGCCTTCTGACTCAGTGACCCTCTGTGCAACACGACCCAATCCTGCACCAGCCTCACAATTGTTCCTATGCTTGAACCCATTGCAACAACTGTGTCAAGCCATCTTCTCTAGGGTCTTCCTCTTTTTCACTACCTCTCCACTATATCAAGCATGACGTCCTCCTCTAGGGACTGACTGGTCTCCTGACATGTCCAAAGTCTCACTGTCCTCCCCTCTCAGGAGCATTTGTGGCTGGACATCTTCCAAGACAGATGTGTGGTCCTTTCAGTATTGTCTGCCAGCACCATCATTCAAATGCATCGATTCTTCTTTGGTCTTCTTTATTCAATGTCCAACTTTGACATGTGTATAAAGCAACTGAAAATACCATGACTTGCGTCAGGTGCACCTTAAGCTTCAAAGTAACCTGCTTGCTTTTCAAACGGTCTTGCAGCAGATTTACCCAGTACAGTGCCTCATTTGATCTTATCTTCTTTTAAGAGCATTGATTGTGGATCCAAGCAACTTCAATCTTTTTCCGTTTATCATGATGGTGCCTTTTGGTATAGTTGTGAGGATTTGGGGTTTTTTTTACATTGTGTTGAAATCCATAATGAAGGCTGCAAGTGGTTCTTTTTTTTTTTAAAGATCATTTTATTGGGGGCTCTTACAGCTCGTATAACAATCCATACATCAATTGTACCAAGCGTATTTTTACATATATTGCATCATTATTTTCTAAACATTTACATTCTGTTTGAGTCCTTAGTATCAGCTCCTCTTTTTACCCTCCCCTTCCACCCTCGTGACTCCTTGATAAATTTTAAATTATTGTTATTTTCATATCCTACACCACCTCTGTCTCCCTTCCCCTGCGGTTTCTAGCTTGAAATCTGGTGCGTTCCCTTATTGGTTTACCCCACTGTGGGGTGTTCAGACTGGACTTACTCCTCGTCGTGTGTCCCCAGTATTGTACTCTGTCACAGTATGCTCCAGCGAGAAGACACCATGTGAGTTAGTTTATTGTGCCAACCTGGCCGATAAACACATGAGGGGCTAATTGAAGGGCGGAGAGGTAGTTCTCGGATCTCTTGCTTTGTGATGGTCAGACCAGGGTGCAGCTGCCTTAGTTAGTTCCCTGCTTCTCCTGGCAAGGCTCACTTCCTACAAGACATCCCTGAGGAGAAGCCAATGGACCTACTCCAATGCAGCCCTGGACGCTGGAGCAGCCGTGTAGAGAGCCCTGCCAGCGCTGAGATGCTTACACGTTCACTGATTCGGCTTTCCTCCTGCAGTCGGCATCATTGCATGTGTGTTGTGAGATGGAGGAGGGCTTTTTGGATTGGTGTTGGACATATGGGTTAATGTTGGACTTGTGGGCTTGGGCAGCACTGGCTTGGGATGTTTTCTTGGTGTGCACTTAACTTTCTATAAAACTCTCTCTTACACATGAGTTTCTGTATCTTTGTTTCTCTAAAGTACCCTGACTAACACACCATGTCTCGAGCTGCTGTTGGCTCTATAGTCCTCTCTGCGCCTTAGCAGCCCTGTTGTAGGGATGTCGTCCTCAGAGCTTGATTTGCCAGTATGGGGTCTAGTCCCTCACTCTCCTTCCTTCTTGGCTTGTTTCGTGTGGGCATGGCAGGCCAGCCCCTCTCCCCAACCTGTAGGTTTAGTGTTGCCCTAGGTAGCACACACTTCTAGGGTGGGGTCAGTTTGGCTCTGATTGGGGCTGGCCCTGTGGACCTCTCTGTTCATGAGTTGTTCTGTGTGGTTATTTGCCCTCAAGGTTTGGTGTGCCGTGGTGGGGTCTGCATGCACACTCCCAATTCTGTGGAGACATAACCAATACTCTCCCCCTGGGTGGGTTAGTGCCCTGCTCCCCCAGTGCTTTTCCCCCCTTTCTTCCGCCCCCTTGCCCCTTTTTTATGTTGCAGTGACATGTACATCCTTGGGTTTGGCCTGTCCCCCACCCGACTGCCTGTACCTCAGCCCGTATAGTGTGAGATAAGTGACTTTTCTTCTATACCTACTGTGCTGATTATACTTACCTCAGTGGACTCATGTTGTTCTTGTCCTTTTGTGATTGGCTAACTTGGCTTAGCATAATTCCCTCCAACTCTTCCCATGAGGTGATGTGCTTTATGCTATCATCAGTGCTTTCTAGTGATGCATAGTACTCCATTGTGTGATATGCCAGAGTTCTCTAATCCACTCATCTATCAATGGAAATTTAGGTTGCTTCCAATTCTTTGCAATTGTGAATTGTGCCACAGTAAACATTGGAGTGCAGACGACTGGTCCTGGTCTGATTCTTACCTCTTCTGGGTATATGCCCAGTAGAGGGATAGCTGGACCATAAGGTGGCTCGATTTCCGTTTGCTTTAAACATTGCCAGATTGCCTTCTCCACACAGGCTGTGTGTATCTACTTGGCCACCAGCAGCGGAGGAGAGCTCCTGTCTTGGCACATCCTCTCTAACGTTTGTTGCTCTCTGATTTTCTGATTTGGGCTGTCACGGGCGTTAGGTGGTATCTCGTGATTGTTTTAATTTGCATTCTCTGATGGCTGATGATCGAGAGCATTTTTTCATATGTTTAGTGGCCCTTCAGGTCTCCTCCCTAGTGAAACATCTGTTCAGGTCTTTTGCCCACTTCCTTAGGGGGTTAACTGTTTTTTTCTTTTTGCAGGTTAGGAGGGTAGTGTAGATTTTAGTAATAAGCCCTTTGTCTGTTGTGTCATTGCTACAAATCCTCTCCCTTTCTGTGGGTTTTCTTGTTACTCTCTTGAAGTATTTCAAAGCACACAGGTGTTTTATCCTTAATATATCCCATTTGTCGATTTCAGGCTCACCTGTGTGTGTACCCTTCCCTATTGCAGTTAGCTTATGTATCCCCTGAGCCAAGGTTCTTAGGTTTGTCCTGCTTCCTTCGTTGATGGTTCTGATATTTTGGGGGTTTATTTCTAGGTCCGTGATCCACCTTGAGTTTGTTCTTGTGCGTGCGGTGAGGTAATGGTCATATTTCATTTTTCTACATTGTTTCCAGCACCACTTGTTAAAGAGGCATCCACTTCCCACTTGATGCTCTTTGGGCCCTTTTCGAAATTAGTTGCTATATGCTGATGGTTTTATTTCTGGGTTTTCTGTTCTTTTCCATTGGTTTGAGTATGTCTATTCTAATACCACGTGAAGACTGCAGTTCTTGATCTGGTTATATAGGCCGCTCTTGTATTCTTTGAATAGGATAACGCAATTTTTATACTCCATTCATTTACTTTCTCTTTAGGACCTTTGGAAGAACAAAGATGAAATTCAGTCCCAACCCTCAAGGAGCCAGGATTATTGGAGGGTGCTGTAAATGCATCGTCTTTGTACCTCTCAGAAAAGAAACAGTACAAGCAGTTAATAAATCTCGGAAAACGACAGCCTAGGATAGACTATGGGAGATTTTTAGTGATCATTAAATAAAATGAATAAAAACCAGAACAAAACTCCCTGTCATCAAGAGTCAGTTCCGACTTACAGCGACCTACTAGGTCCTAGAGTCTAGGACAAGGTAGCACGGCTCCTGTGGGTTTCTGAAACCGTAGCTCTTTAAGGGAGTAGAAAGCCTTACTTATCTTTCTTCCGCAGAGTGTCTTGTAGTTTCAAATTGCTACTCTTGCTTTTAGCAGCCCAACACATAACCACTATGCCATTAGGAGTCCCTTAAATAAAATGATGTCTATTTTAAGGGTATACTGTTTATAACAAGCATCACTTCTAACTGTGCATTGTAGTTTATTGGTATATTGAATAAGTCCAAACGTATTGCTACTAGGGCTCCAGTGCATACATGCAGTTGATTCCAGACAAAGTGTGTTCACTTGTCTTTGTGATCAGTAAATGGCTGCAGACTTCTCTGTTTTAGTCTTGTTGGGGTAGCTTACGTTTTTTTTTAAAGGTGCCTAAGATAGAGACATTTAAACCATAGGTATACAAATGGATTTGGGGCATGTACTTAATTCTAGCCCTGACCTAAGAACAAATAGTTCTTATGACATGACCTTACTCAATATTTGCTTTCATGAAGAGATAACAATATGTAGGTGCTATAGCAAAGTGTGGTGCAGAAACCAGATGGTGCCCAGCTATCAGAAGAATAATGTCTGGGCTTTTAAAGGCTTGTCGTCAAACAAGCAGCCATGTAAGTGAGGCATCATTGAAGTCCACATGGGCAAAGCACACCAGCCTGTGTGATCCAAGGTTGTAAATAATAAAATCCAAATCCGAAGGAGGGAATGATAACAGAGCTTAAATTCTGAACACCAGTTTTCATAAGGCTATGGATGACAGTGGAAGCCCAAAACCCATTTGCAGGGTCCATACATAAATTAAGCCTCGGTGAATCCCCTCAGACCATAAACCAGGGACGGACGTGAGCGCCTTACTCTCTGACAGCATGGTTACATCTACTCTGGCAGGTGTAGTTAGGTGAAAAGGTCATACCTGGTCATTTAATCTCCTTTTTGACTCATTTTAAAGTTGTTTCAGTTTTTAATTTCTGCTTTCTTTTCAATAAGAGGCTGTCTCTCTCTCTCTCTGTGTGTGTATGTGTGTGTGTTTTGTTTGCTTGCTTGCTTCCTGTCTGGATTTCGTATGATTTTCTGCTTATGAAATCCAGGATACGTAAATCTCTAGGGAGAGTAACTGGATTAATAATTACCTAGGGGCATAGCAGGGGAGGTTGTAGGAAAATGGGGAGCTAACAAAATGAGTATGAGAAGAAATGTTCAGAAATTGGTTGTTGTGATTCTACAACTCCAAAGTGATTGAATGATTAAATTATTTGATATGTGAATTATATGCCAATGCAACTTTTTTTTTAAGTGCCATTAAAAAGAAATTTAAGGACCAGGGCAGTATCAGATTTTCACAAAACTCAAGTGAACATCTTCTCAAGTCTTTGAAGCTTTTACAGCAGGTTTATGAAAATGCTACCCCACAGAAAGCAACAGGTTCTTGATGGATCAAGCGTTTTAAGGAAGGTCAAGAAAACCCTAAGATGAATTCAGGGCAGAGGTCAGCTCCGAAGGTTATGGCAGCTGTTTGGGTCATCTTGATAGATTTTCTACAAGGTCGAAGGACAATCATGGGGGCTCCTGGAGGAGTTTTAAGAAAAGGGTCAGCTTAGTTGGTGAGGAAACCGCCAGAAACTTTGTACCAAGGAGTTTCTATCTATCACAGTGCGTGTACTCCTCCTTCCAGGGTAGTACAGACAGCCCTGTACGCATTTCACTGGGAAACTCTGCCCTGTTCATCCTCCAGTCTTGATCTTGCCCCCTCAGATTTCTTTTTTATTCCCCAAGGAAAGTTTGTAAATAGACTTTTTAGATATATTAAGTAAAATGTCTAGTATTGAGAGATTAAACTAAAATTTGAACCCCAAACTCTAAAATTTAAACCTCAAAGCCATGTTATTTCTATCAGTCCATGTTGTCAACAAAGTTTAAGAAGAAAGGACATTTTGTCAGGTTCTTTGAAATCTGCTTTCCAAAATTTCTTCTGTCCCTTTCTCCCCTGTTAACTTTTCTTCACGCTTGCATTGTTCCAACTGACATGGTATTACTGTAGGGCCATAAAATAATCTCTTAAATGGCCTGTTTGACTTTCTAACCCCTCCTTTACACACATACCCAAACAGTCTAAAAAACAAAACTGCAGTTTTCTTCGTCTCCCCTCAGAAACTTGTTCTTTGTTGATTGGTGGGTAAAGTCTTAGAGGCCAGTTGGACTTGCTCTCATTTTTGTGGCTTTGTCTCCCATTACTTTCATGGAACCTCTCTCTGTCCTTGTGAGACTACAGAATCCAGCTCGTCTTTGTTCAGACTGTGGTAGTTGCATAATCTGTCAATTTGAGACTTTTACTAGTGAAGGGGTGGAGTTTAGCCTGTCAATCAGGTCGCAGCTTGATGACCTCATTTGGAGGCACTAAGGAGATAAATAGCTTGTTCAAGGCAGAACACAGGCTCACTTCCTGCGAGACATTACTGACGATGATGGTGGTGACAACAATGAGCCTGATGGAACTACATGGATGCAGCTGGAGGAACCACATGGAAACCCAAGCCAGGCTGAGATGCTTCCACCACCACTGGATCCACAAGACTCTGCACCCACTGGCCTGTGATCTTCCTGAGTTTGGCGTTATTGAGTGTGTTGCGTGAGTCTGAAGAGAAATTTATAGATCGGTATCGAACATAAGGGCTAATATTGGACTTATGGACTTGATCTGGACTGGGCTGGGATGTTTTCTCAATATTCGATTTCTGTTCTATATAAAGCTCTTTATATAAAAAAAAGAAGGTCTTTATTATACACATGAGTGTCCATGAATTTGTTTCTCTTGTCAACCCAGACTAACACACAATGCTTCTGCCTGCTTTCTCCTTTGATCCTGTCCCCTAAGAGGGAAAAGAAAAGAACACACACATTGTTAAAGGCTACAAGAAATCATGTGTTTTCCACCAGCTTGTGTGACCACGAGGTGTCAAAGGGATCGGGGATCAGGCATCAAAGAACAAAAAAAAATACTATCATTGTGAATGAGGGGGAATGCGGATTGAGGTCCCAAAGCCCATCTGTAGGCAAATGGACATCCCCTTACAGAAGGGTCATGGGGAGGAGACAAGCCAGTCGGGGTGCAGTGTATCAATAGTGAAACATTCAACTTTCCTCTAGTTCTTAAATGCTTTTGCTCCCCACCCCCCCCCACTATCATGATCCCAATTCTACCTTACAAATCCGGCTAGACCAGAGGATGTACACTGGTACAGATAGGAACCCGAAACAGGGAATCCAGGACAGATATCCCTTCAGGACCAGTGGTGTGAGTGGCGATACTGGGAGGGTGGAGGGAAGGTGGGGTGGAAAGGGGGAACTGATTACAAGGATCTACATATAACCTCCTCCCTGGGGGATGGACAACAGAAAAGTGGGTGAAGGGAGATGTCAGACAGTGCAAGATATGACAAAATAATTTATAAATTATAAAGGGTTCATGAGGGAGGGGAGAGCGGGGAGGGAGGGGAAAAATGAGCTGATAGCAAGGGCTCAAGTAGAAAGCAAATGTTTTGAAAATGATGAGGGCAACAAATGTACAAATGTACTTGACATACAATGGATGGATGGATGGATTGGGATAAGAGTTGTATGAGTCTCCAATATAATGATTTAAAAATTACATGTTTTCTCCTTTAACATTTTACCTGTAAATGTCTGTATAGGACTACGTTTCATTCATTGTGTCTTGTGTTTGGTCCTTTTAATTGATCGAATTCAAAGCTCCTAAGAAGGCAAGAATCTAGGTTTTTTTCTCACCCTGGCACTTGCCAATGTAAAAAGCAGGACCCACCTTACAAAATAGAGCCCTTGCAATGTTGTAGCCTCTTTAACTGCTGTCATTTCTCCCCTGAAGTCAGAATATTCTGAGTTTCAATTGTACATAGTTATGGAGTGTGGTGCCTTTGTAGGTTTTCTTTTTGTTTGGGGAAAAGCATAGTTGCTTTGGTTTATGTCTGCTTAACTGCTGATGTGTTCTCCTTCCCTCCTCTTCCCTGATAGTGTGACTGACAGACTTCTCATGTTTCATACACTTCCAGAGTTAAGTTGCTTTTACAAAGTTTCCTCCTTGACCAATACTAGTCTTACCAGGTTGCTTACCACTTCAACAAAATATGAGGCGGACCAGGAGCACAATGAGAATGGCTGTGAGCTGTCTTAGCCCTCTTTATTAATTTCCAGAATTGTGCTATATTGTAACCATTATGTCCCTGCTTGGGCTTAGCTTTATAGATGAGCAATTTTTAAAACAGCTAAGTAAGAGTTACTTAGAATGATTAGCAGAAAATTCACTGTGCTGTAATGTACCATACTTGAACCCATTATTAACAGCAGAAAAATTTCTACAGATGTTGTAAATTTTATTGGGCCATTTCTTCTTTTATAGGATTATGGTAGTATCTAAAGGATGTTTTGGCTATCCAACTGAAGAATACTAACAACAAAAAAGTTACATGTAGCATGACAGCATAGATGTTATTCTGATTTTTTGAAAAGTTGTTGATGGAGGCCATCATGATTAAACAGGTGATTTTGTAGAATACCTTAATCAGAATCCACTTCCGAGGGGTTTGCTCCCAGGGAAAGTGCACTGTGACTACAGCACTGTGTCCTTGGGAATGGATCGGGACTCTTTAATTAATCATTTGAGAGTGGATTTTTTGTTTTCTTTCTGAAATGTTTACATATTATCAAGTTGTTGGAAACAAGCTAAATAGAAAAACATAGTAAATATTCACAAAAACATTGATAACACCACTGACATCACATGTGTAACAATGTAAAAAGGTCAAAGGTCTTAAAAGACTTAAGTCCCCCTCCTCAAAAAAAAAATGATAGAAATAAGGATGAACTGAAATGCTATTTCTACTTCATTACGTTAATTACTTAAAGGTGTCCTTTTTAGCCTACCTGAAGCCTGAAGTACTTATGAGAATGTCGTCTGTCGTCATTGTTTCTAAGTATGCACTTTCATTCCAGGCGCGTGTGGTTCTTAAATACAGGCACACTGATGGGAGTCTGTGTGTGAAAGTAACAGACGATGTAGTTGTGAGTATACCTTTTTATTTCATGCTTTCACATTTCTTTAATCATTTATTTGAAATTACTTAGAATGTAGTAGACTGTATATATGCAAATGATCCAATAGGGTGCTTTTTGGTAACATTTCAAAGCCAAGAGCTTGTATTCTGGAAGCTGTTTTAGAGCGTCTCAGAAACCAATGTGACTTGCCGTGGTAATGGAGCGTGTCCAGTTCCGTTTGATTGTGGCCTCCTTCGGGCCTTGAGCAAGAGGAATTGAAAGACCATGGCAGTGTGACGAGGTAGAGGTTTCTTTGTTGGTGTGTGAGAAGTGAATGAGAGATTTTTTTTTTTCCGGCAGAATACAAATACAGTGGACTTTTTTTTTTTTTAATTAAAAAAAAATCATTTTATTAGGGGCTCATATAACTCTTATCACAATCCATACACACATCAGTTGTGTAAAGCGCATTTGTACATTCATTGCCCTCATCATTCTCAAAACATTTTCTCTCCACTTAAATCCCCGGCATTAGGTCCTCATTTTTTTCCCTCCCTCCCTGCTACCCCCTCCCTCATGAGCCCTTGATAGTTTATAAATTGTTATTTTGTCATATCTTGTGAATGATAGATTGTGAACCCAGGCTTTAGGCTTGCTGTATAGGTGTAGCTCTCCTTTGCTCATCGGCTAACTCTTGTCCCTTTCTTTTCGCCAGTTCATTCCTCACCCTTCTGCTACCTGGTCTCTGCGTGCAGGATTGTGTGGAGATTGTTCTTGGTGAAGCCCTTAATTTCCTATCTTGCTTGATCTCCTTGCCACTTTGAAACAGAGAGGACACTGTCATGGGGGTGATTATTCCAGCACTTGTGCCTCCATCTTACTTTGGTTTTCATTTTCTGGTTTTGTTGTTGCATTCCTTGCTACAATTTCTTAGGTGTGCTCTCCCCAGCAGTCTGCTTGTCGGTTGTCTTTTCATAGCCCTTTCTTCTGGAGCATCCCTTCCCTTTCAGGAACTGCCTGTATCCGTCCCCACCAGGAAGCCGGCACGCGTGAACTGGTAACAACAGGCCCACTGACTACCCCACGCGGGAAGCTGCGACTTTCTGCTCCGGTCGCGGTTTACAGACTCAGACACCCACAGACAGTTTTGAATCCCATGTCATGAGGGGGCTTCAAAAAAAAAGGGCTCATGGAAATATGGAATTTAAAGATAGTGGAATTTTACCACGAACTTTTTGAAGCCCCCTCATATTTCCAAATTCGTGCATTTAGCTCCTATTTTTTCTTCTTGGTTCCCAAGCATTCTTATCTTAGAAACTCCTCAACAGTAACCTGTGCAGAATACAGTTCTCCTCCTCCTCTCACACTGGCTCCTTCTGTTTCCTACCTCAGCTGTCCAACTGCAAGCTGTCAGCAACCGGGGACTCACATTGATCCTTCCTGTCCCTCAGTCCTTTGTCTACTACTTCTTCATTTAGAAAACTTGCCTTGTTTCCTGCTCTCTACCCTATATTCTTGGTTAGGGTTTTGGAGTTGTTGATTCAAATTTATTTATCGCTTATTTCCTATCCTATCTTTCCATCCTCCATTTCTCTCCACTTAACATAAGACTGAGATCTCCTCACTTACTTGAACTCTTAGTCTGGCCTCCCAGTAGGGTTTTCCTTCTGCTTCAGCCTTCGTCCTCCCTACACTCCTACCAGAGCGACTTCTCACAATGCTCATTGGACTGTGACTTCCCTTGACTGCTGATTGCCCCTTATGTGTTTGCTGCCAGTCTGTCCACTGACTTAGGGCTCTGCGCTTTTAAGCATTCTGATTCCTCCTTTGAACTGATGACTCCTGTCTCACTCTGTCCTCCGTTGGCAAGACTGCTGTTGATTATCTTTAAAAGCTCAGAAAGATTTCCCCCATCCCGTCCCCCAAAGATTTTTTAAATCCAATTTTATGTATAATATTTTCTTAGTCCCATGACTGATTTTATTTATCTTCTATGGACCTAACATCCTTTTTGTTATGGCTGTAGTGAGAAAGTGTATGTATGTATATATATATATTTTCTGTCACAGTGCCTGTATTAAAATTTGATTAATGGGAATTAGTATAGCTTCTTTCCAAGACTGCTTGTACATTGTAGGGGCAAAACCAAGTGAGTGCTGTAAAATCCAGATAAATCTAAATCACTTGGGCATGATGCGGTTGAAATATATATATGCTGGCTTATAGTTAATATTTTGAAGATTATAGAAAAATGATTTTATAACCCACTGTAAACAACTTTTAAGTGTCGAATGAAGAAATTAACTTAGAGCAGTGGTTCTCAACCTGTGGGTCTCGACCCCTTTGGGAGTCGAACAGCCCTTGCACAGGGCTCGCCTAAGACCATCAGAAAACACATATTTCCGATGGTCGTAGGAATCGAGAAACCGCTGCTCTATCTGTCTCCAGGCGGGTCTGCCCACATGCAGATACACCCACATATGAGAACCCGACAGGAAGACTGTTAACCATGCTACACCATGCTTCAAGACAAAATTTCACTTATTTGTAATTAGAAATAAATATTTCACAACATATAATTACATACTGGTTTGTGATTAATCACTATGCTTTATGTTCAATTTTTATAGCAATAAAATTACATCCTGCATATCAGATATTTACATTACGATTCATAACAGTAGCAAGATTACAGTTATAAATCAGCAACGAAAACAATTTTATGGTAGGGGGACACCACAACATGAGGAACTGTATTCAAGGGTCCTGCCATTAGGAAGGTTGAGAACCACTGGCTTAGAGCAAGGAAGAATTTGGTCAGCTGTTGGGGGCTTCTCACCACCTCGGAGGCTGCAAACAGTGGATTCAAATAGGCCTATCGAGGAGGCGCAGGACTGGACAGTGTTCAGCTCTGTTGGACAAAAGAGGAAGTGTAACCCCATTGAGCCTGCTTTTGAAAGACCACAGCAGTCTGGTCGTGAGTCTTACTGTGAGGGACTGACTCAGTGGTACCTGACAGCAGAAGGCGGTTAGAGACGATGCAGTCTTTCAGAAAACCAAGATGGAACAGGTTCATCTGTTCCATTTAGGTGTTGGTCAGAAGCTAGGTGGTTTTTTTGTGTTCATTTTTTATTTTAAAAATTTGCTATTACAATTATGAAATCCCTCATTTTACAAATAATACAGATCTTAACATTTCTATGCTTTTCCCAATATACTTCTTTTCATCCATAACAAAAGTTTATATATTATTAACTGGTTGTTTTTGAGAAGGTTCTGAACAAATTCGTTTAGTTTTTCATCACATAAAGGCATGTAAAATACTTTATTTAAGGAGTGTAATTGCTAGAGTGTGGAAGCTCCTTAGTGTGACCGCCAC